AATATATCAATATTAGTATCAAATTAACTATTTAATCCAAAATGAATTAAAGTAATCATAAATAAAAAACCATGCAAAGAAAAAATTGTCATCATTTTCTTTATATAATTACCCTCAATGTTCCGACATATTGTCTTTTTATCAATGTAAGATGGATAAAGTTAACTATACTTCAATATTTTGGAATTCACAATCTACATTGTGTCATATTATGTCTTTTGGTTTTTACTTATAGATAGATATATATATATATATATATATATATTACATATTTATAGATATAAAAAATTTAAAGGTTTATTAGATTATTATATGTAACTTATATATAAAACGTAAATGAAAACTCTAAAAGTGTTGTCAAGTAAAAACTCTCCGTTTCATTGTGAAAACTTAGAAAAATTATATAAGAGAAAAGTAAAAAAAAAAAAAATTCTAAAATCCCAACAAAAATAAAAAGGAATGCTAGTCTTCTCGAAATAAATTTGAAAATAGATTTGTTGAAAAATAACAAATTATGAAATGAAAAACAAATCAAATTATGGAGATGGAGAAAAATGAAATGAAAAACAAATCTAAGTGATGAAGATGGAGAAAAAGAGATTGAATGATGAACAATTCATGAAGAAGAGTTAGGGAAATGAAAATATTGTGTTAAATACAAACATAAATGAATAATCAATGTTTATAGAAATAAGAATGTGAAATTTTAAAAAAATGATTAAAGAAGGATGGATGAAATAAAAGATAAATAAGTTTCTAACATTTGGGAGAAGCCAAGTCATCAATCTTGGTTTCTCCTTTAATATATATATATACACACACACACACACACACACACACACACACACACTAGAAGGTATTCGTGCAACACAGCGAGATACATCTTGATTTTAATATTTTATTTTATGTTTTATCCCAATCAATGTTATAATATGGTCTTATGTGATTTTGAAGAAAAAACACGGTGACGTTTTTATTTTTCAATAAAATATAAATTTGAAGATATCATAAAATTTGACAAAAATATATCAATATTAGTATCAAATTAACTATTTAANCGGTGACGTTTTTATTTTTCAATAAAATATAAATTTGAAGATATCATAAAATTTGACAAAAATATATCAATATTAGTATCAAATTAACTATTTAAAATTTCTCATTTTTTGTGTAATTTTTTAATTCAATTATTTTTATTATAACTAAATTAGGTTCAATAACGAAGTAATTTTTATTTGGTTTAATAATATAATTTTCTTATAAAAATAATAATTAATTATTTTGTTAGAACTTGATAAATATTTTAACTATATTTTAAATTTTTAGATTTTAAAATGAGATGTTTATCTTCTATTTGATTATGTTTATTCGTAGTTAGTTACACGAATTTAAACATAGAGCTTTAATAAGTTGTACTTATGCGTAATTTTTTTCTTATAAAAATAATAATTAATTATTTTGTTAGAACTTGATAATCATCCTAATTATATTTTAGATTTTTTAGATTTTAAAATGAGATATTTATCCTTTATTTGATTATGTTTATCTGCAGTTAGTTACACGAATTCAAACATGGAGTTTTAATAAGTTGTACTTATGCATAATTTACTTGTAATCTTGAATTTTAAGTAATAGGCATCAATATACAGTACTTCATGCATAAAAAATAGTTTTTAAGAGTTTTTATTAAATGATTTATAATATAACTAGAAGCGTACTCGCGCAATGCRGCGAGATACATCGTGTTTTTAATATTTCATTTTATTCTTTATCTCAGTCGATGTTATAATATGGTTTTATGTTATTTTGAGAAAACGATGATGTTTTTATTTTTGAATAAAA